CCCCCGGCGGGGGCACAGTGCGCCACAGCCTGGCACCTCCCGGCCCCTCCGGGTCCGGCCTGCCCTGCGAGGCCGCGCGGAGGCTCACGGACGTGGTGCGTGGGACCAGGCGCCACGCGGCTTTGCGTTCTGCCTAGATCTGGGTCTACAGCGAGGAGCACGAGCTGGTCCTGAATAACCTCCTCTGCCTGGACGTGTCGGAGACGCGCGCCGCGGACCCTCCGCGCCTCATGAAGTGCCACGGGTCGGGGGGCTCCCAGCAGTGGACCTTCGGGGTGAGGAGCTGGGGTGTGGCCGAGGGCTGAGTGGGTGCCGGGCAGCGCTCTGGACCGTTTGCGGCGTCGCTCGGCCACCTGCTGGCTGCCGTGCCACTTCCCCGCGGGTCTGTCTTTCAGAAGAGCCGCCGGCTGTACCAGGTGTCCGTCGGGCAGTGCCTGCGTGCGGTGGACGCGCCAGGTCACCAGGGCCACGTCGCCATGGCCATCTGTGACGGCTCCTCCTCGCAGCAGTGGCTCCTGGAAGGCTGAGGGGGCCCGCGGCCGTGCGGGTCGCCAGGCCTGCACCCCTGGGTGGCTCGTGCCGGAGGCGGCCGGGCCTCGCCGACGGGGGGAGAGCGAGGGCTGGCGGCTGCCCTCTGCCCCCCTGGCGTGGCAGGCGGGGCCGTGAAGCCCAGCGATGGCCTTGGCTCGAGCTCCACACAGCCCGTCTCGCAGCAGAGGGCTGCGACCAGCAGGCACCTCTGGCCGCCAGCCTGGGCACGTGTCGGCAGCTGTGAACACCGCGTGGCTCTTCGCTCGGAACGAGGCGTTTGAGAGGCGCCGGCCGGGAGGCAGAGACCGCCTCAAATTACTGTGACGGACGTGCTCCCACGTTGAAATAAAGGCTCCTTTGGGGATTTGCCAGCAGCTGCCGCCCGGCCGCCTCTCTCCTTGCGCCTGGCCTTCCGGCCTGAGGCCGCGTGGCCGGGCGCTGCCTCCTGGAGCCCTGGGGCCAGAGTGTGCGAGGTGGAGACGTGCGGGCGGCTCAGAATGTGCCTCCAACACCAGCTGCGCGCGGCGTCTGGGCCCGGGCGTGCCCGCGGCTGCAGGGCGGGCATTCCTCTTCACGTCCCCCTCGGGGCTCTGCAGCGGGCTGAGCTTGCAGCGGGCACGTTGGGTGTCAGGCACCTGTCCCTGCCACGGTCGAGCCTGACGGCACGTCGGCTGCTGCAAGGCGGGCGGCGGCCACTCAGCAGCCACCCGGCCAGCAGAGTCACGTGGCGGGAGCGTGCCGGGGACTTCACGGCCGCTGCGGGTGCGTGAGGGCAGGCGGGCGCGCCGTGCGCTTCCCTCTGAGCTAGGGCCGCTCACCCAGAGGCGTGCACACGCCCGAGGACGTGTCACGTAGGCCACGACTGGGGAGAGACCCCCCCACGTCCCCCGAGGGCCTCGGCCCCGCCCAGAGCCCACCGGACAGCGGTGGTCGTGGGCCAGACTGAGGGGCGCACCCGCAGCGCAGCCTGCGGAACGAGCCACCTGGGCCGCACTGAGGGACCACGAGCGGCACCAGCTCCCCAGTGGACACGAGCGCCCGGCCCGGGAGACGTCCAGGGCCGGTGGGAAGTGGACTGCGCGCTCTGTGGGCCCCGGCTGTGGGGTGCGAGGCGAGGCCGAGGCCAGCAGCCGAGTTCACACCAGAGGGGCAGCCGGGTGGGTGTCCCGTGGCCAGGGCGCGGGGGCTGGGTCCGGGCCCCGAGCCGTTCCTCAGCGGGGCGCTCACCCCTGCCGTGGTCAGCAGCAGCAGACCCGGCACCAGCTTGACAGAAAAGGGAAGGGAGACCTGGAGCTGGACCCCAAGAACGGAAGCCGGATGTTTGTACCCTGCGGTGCCAGGCGGCCCGGGACGGCCCCACCATGGCGCAGCCCAGAACTTGCGGCCACGCGGGACTGAGGGGAACGAGTCACGCTGCCGCGTGAGGGCTCACGTAGCACTCAGGCCCTGGGCCTGCGGCCTCTCCCCTCCCCCGGTCTCAGAGGCCTCGTGGCGTGGGGCGCGGCCGAGAAGTCTCCGGGCTCGCAGACTCGAGGTGACCGGAGAGACCCGGGGGCCGAGGAACAAAGCCCGGGGTTCGCGGTCTCGGCCCGAAAGGTGGCCAGGCGCCCGGGAAGGACGGAGCTCGCGTCCGCGCCACCGCTGCCGCCGCAGGTGCGGGCACAGGACGCTCGGGTCAGTGCAGCGGAGGTGAGTTTTGGCCTGAAGCGTTGGTCGGTCGGTCGGTAGCCGCTGCACCGACCCCCGTGGGACCCCGTCGCCCAGCCCTCAGCACGTGGCTGCTGAGGGCCGCAGTGACCGTGGCCTCCCACATGGGGGTTGCGTAGAGCCGAGCGCCCCAACAGTCACCTCGCCCCTGGCCCTGGGACCGCCACCGGGGTCACCGTGCCCCGCCGGGTGGGCGGAGCCACGGGTGAGCCCTGGCGTACGTGGCCTGCGCGTCCCCCTCGCAGCGTTAAATGCGTCTCGACAAGGACGTGGCCGCGCTAAGCGAAAAGGTTCTGGGAGCGACGTGAAGGCCGTTGGCGGGGTCCACTTGAGGGAGGGCACAGCCGCGCGACGGGCACTGGCACCCCACCCCCCTCGACACAAGGGGCGACACGGCGAGCCACGCGCCTCGCGCCACCCCAGAACTGCCATTGCCCGACGGACGAGAAACGGCAGTGCTGAGGCAGAGGCGCGCCCAGTGTGAGCCCTCCGCCCGCGCGGGCACGGGGGCGCCCTGGGGTGCCGCGCCGGCCGGCCGGGGCTCGGCGTGAGGCGATGGCGGCAACTCGGACGCCCACCCGCGTTTCGCGCGCACCACGTCACCATGTCCCGCTCCGGCGGGGCCCCGAAGCCCCACACCACGTGGAGGCCCGAGTGTGCTGGGCGCGCCTGGCCCGGCCGGGAAAAGCCCCGCACAGGGGTACGGTGTCCGCAGCGCGGGGCGGACCCGGCGCGGGCTCTCCCCACTCCAGGGGCCCCTGGAGCCCGCTGGGGGCTTCTCAAGCTTGCAAGGAAACGCACAGCCCCGGCGGCCCGGCTGGCTCTCAGGCCACGGGTTCGGGGAGGCCCCAGCAGATGCGTGAGCAGGTGCCACGGTGGGGGGCGGCCAGTCTGGAAAGGGCTCGGGCCTCAGTCACGCGAAGTGGACGCCGGCACGCGCCCCCCGCCCCGAGCCAGACGCTGAAAGCTCACGGCGAGAGCACAGAAAACTCCAGGGGGCAAACGACGCTACGAATGAACGTGGACGGAGAGACGACCAGGCCACTTCAGAGGGGGCGGGCAGGGGGCGGGCAGGACCTGACTGGAGCAGGTTCTGCTGCTGGTGACCAGGGAGCAGGCTGGGCAGGGACTCAGCAGCGCTAGACAGGGGCCTCCCGACGCCAGGGCGGGCGGTGCCGGGACAAGCGCCGGGACCACGGTGGCCGGCGCACGTGGCCCAGACCGCGCACGTATGTGCGCCCGAGTGTGGCCACGGGTCGGCTCCCATGGTGACGCACCACTGGGACCGGCTCGCTGGCCGGCAGCCATGCTGGGGAACTGACCACCCGCCCGGCCCAGCACTGGGGCAGCACACGCAACCCAGGCAGACCGCCTGGAGCAGCGGAGGGGCGAAGCCTCTCCCGGGGGCCAGGCCAGCGGCCTTCACACAGCTCTAAGCCGCCACCTTCGGCTGCCCGCGCGCCCACGGCTGCCGGGGAGGACGGGGCAGGCGGAGGGGGCTTCAGGCCCGCACCCCCCGGCCCAGCACTCACCGCTGGCTCCTCTCGGGCCTGGGCTCCTTGGGTCCTCGCCACACCCACAGCTGCCCGTGGACGCCTGCCGGAGGGCCCGTGGCAGCGCTGGCCGGGATGGCCTCCGCTGGCAGTGGCGAGGCTGCCCCCTCTGCGGGGCTCTGGGCCAGCCGGGGCCCACGGTGGTGCTCTGCGGCTGTGCTGGCGGCCAGGCCCCCCTGAGAGGCGACTTGGTCCTTTCGTCTAAGCAGAAGATGCGAGAAACAGCCCCTCCCCAGCGTCTGAGTCCTCACAGGTGCTGCCGGGGCCACCGCGCCCCACTTCCAGCTGAGGCTCACGTCAGGACGCCTGGGGCCGGGGTGCCCCAATTGCGCTCCCCTGCGCTGTTTCCCATCAAGGGCCTTCTCCGAGTGGGAGTCGCCCTCCGGAGTGGGCTGAGCCAAGTGGGGGGGGGCGCAGCACCCCAAGGAGCCAGGCACCTCCCTCCCTCAGCCGTACGCTGGCCCTTGCCCTCGCGCCCCTAAGGGCAGTGTCAAGGCCCCAGCTGGGGCCATCCAGACCGTTGGGCCCCCACTTGCCTGTCCGTAGCTGCTCTCCTCTCGTCTGGGGCCTCACGACACCCCGAGACCAAGCTCTCGGGACCCCACATCTGCAGGGGGTTGCCCTGGCTCCGCCAGCTGGGAGGTCCAGGCCTCGAGGGGCCCGCGACCGGGACCTCAGGGGCGCGCTCGGCACCGCTGCGGGAGACGGCCCGGGCGCCTCCAGCGCACCAGGGCGCCTGCGCTCGCAGGGGTGACGCAAGTCGCCGCGGGGCAGGCTGAGGCCCAACGCCCGGCCCGTGCCCGAGGTGGCAAAGGCTTCGGTGCTCGCGAAGCCCAGAGGTAAGGGTCTGTTTCGGAAACTGGGGGCGTAGGCGGTCTTCAGAGCAGTTTTTGATTCCGAAACCCCCTCAGATGAAACGTCAGCACGTCCCAAGGGCCGGAAGCCCGTCACCGGGCAGAGTCTCCGAGGGCCGCCTCAGGGCGCTGCCACCACACGGAGGCTGACCCCAGGGCGGGGCTCAGGGGCAGCGCTCAGAGCCTCGGGGCGCTCCAGCTCGTCCGCAGGGACGC